GCTTTGCTGTTTTTTTCCAGATTTAATTGCTGGTTCAAAATTAAGGATCAATGAGACCAAGAAATAGTTTTGTTATTATTTTTTCATTGCCAGAGAGAGACAGGGGGACAGAGAGAGGGAGAAAGGACCCCCCAGTGGGGCATGGTCAGGCTGCAATCCCTTCTCCCTACTTCTGCATTTTGTTAGGATTTTAAACATGCATGGCCAGCTTGTTTTTTCAAACTACCAGTCCAGGACTTGAACCATGGTGGGCCATGTGACAGCCTGCTCCCTAAGCCAGTAGGCCATGAGGCCAACGCTTCTATTCTGAATGAAAACCAAACAGCAGCTGTACTGAGGGTGTATCAGAAGCAGGCAGATGCATGTACTCTTGTGCAATCCAAGCTAAGGGAACAGAGCCTGTTTCTGTAATGATCTTTGGTTTGGATCCTGCTCACACACACCCACACATGCACACACGCACACGCTGATGAGCACACGGACCCTGTTGAGGACTTGGCAGTGTGTATGCATATTACATAAGCGCATGCACATGTACGTGTGTATGTGCGCAGACATACTTGTTTTATGCATGTGAGGCTCGAAATTCTTCTTTGCTGTAGGTGGGACAGACCCCAGCTCAAGTACTGATACGGTTGGAAAGACTTGACCCTTCGGTGCTTTGTCTTCCCCGCATCAATTTGCAGGGACAATTTGCTTTTTGCGTTATTATAGTGAAGCTAACAGAGACTAGAGAAAGAACCTCGGGAGCTGGGCTGACTGGGAGCCCTTCCCGCCCAGGACGCGTGCCAGCACAGACAGCTTCGCCGAGACCTCCGCCATGTGGCCTTGCTATGTGCCGGCTCCTACAGAGGCAAGCAGCCTGGGCCTCCATGGCATCAGAGGGCCGGAGACCCTGGGAGGCCTGTCCAGCCGTTTCTACGCACAGCCGTGCCTCTCTGAAACGGGAGCCACATGTGGCCCACTGCCGTGTCAGGTGGAGTGGCCACATACACCCGTGTGTGGGTTGTCAAATTAGCTACCTGCGACCACGTGAGAGCGGAAAGCCCCAGGGATGGCCTGGTGGGTTGCTGCATCAAGGCAGTGGCGGCACCGCAGTGGCCCAGCACTCCGTGGGCGAGAGAAGTGAGAGCCACGATCTCATGCACTCCCAGCTTCACAGTGGCTGAGCCTCACTCTGTGAATGGTTCATAGAATTGAAAATATAAATAATAACAAGAGTCTGTCGCATCACGTGGTACCAGTACACCGGGCTAGTCAGCGCACAGGCCAGGCGTGGTCTCAAGCTCAGATCTACACGGCGGGTGCAGATTGGACCTGGCGTATGCGGTCGACTCGGGTGTTTGAGGGAGGATGAGGCAGAGGAGAAGGCTCAGGCGCTCAGGAGGGGCAGGCCCAACCTCCTTCTCCCGTTGGCATGAGAGCAGGATCCCGGCAGCAGTGGGGATTCACTTGGATGGGACAATGGGAAAGACCAGGGTGGAGGGACTGATGGAGTGTGTACTGCGGGGACAAGTGAGAACCAGAATGGCTCTGTCTGGCCAGCAGAGGTGCCACCCTCGGGAGCCAGGCTGTGGAGGCAGCCACCTCTGGAGCCAGACACCATGGGGAATACCTGACAGCTCCCCTCCCACCTCTCAGCGTCCCGTTCAGGCCTCTGATTAGGTAAAACCTGGCAGCAGCCCAGCCTACCAGGGAGCTCAGGTAACAGTCCACGGGGCCCATGTGCAGGGGCAGAGAGGGACTGAGAGTGGACCAGGGTAGGCTGGCCTGACAGTGAGCCATTGGCTCAGCGAGGGCCATCCCTGGGGCTGGTCTGCAGCTGCCCTGACCACACCGCCGATGTCTAAGAGACCAGTGTCTCGGACCGGCAGTGGCTGCACCAGTTCTCCCGCCTGGCAGGCTTCCGAGAGAAGGTGGCTCTAGGCTCCCGGCATCTGCCTCGTTTCCGCCTGCAACATGGAAATAGCAAGCACACGTGTGCATCAGGTGACTGTGGGTGTGAAGGCAGCTGAGCTGTGTGGCGTACTCAGCGCACCGCCAGCGCCCTGTGGGGTGGGGTCTTATTGCTGTCCGACCGAGCCTCTCAGCCCTGGCTGTGACTTCTTGGTTCTGCCACAGAGTCACCGCCCAACAACTCTGCAGGGAGGAGAAGACTCGTGGG